CATGCCCGCGATGAGAGGCGGCACGTTGAGCACTTGTCCCACTTCCTTGGCGATGATCATACCCTGGTGGTGCATCATCGCGTTCTCTTTCTGCATGTAGACGTGCCGATCGGAGGAGTGACTTTGCATCGCTTCCGCAAGGGGCGACGGCGGAGGCTGTGCACCAGGTGATGCCGCGGGCTGCGCCGCAGGTCTTCTTTGACTTGTCGTTGTATCCTCCCTGTGGGCACCCTGCGTCTTCTGCTCCTCCAGTTCCCTTCATGTAATGGTCTAAGTGGCACATATCCTCGCTCATGGAATGCCGTCGCTCACGTGGTTTGATGATAACGCCGGCCGCCGGTCGATCTTGCCCTGGAGATCGCGCTGGTCCTCGTAGGATATCTTAAGCTGGAGTTCGAGTGGATCCATTGATGCCAGAGCGTACTTGTACATGGACGACTCGGCCTTCGAGTCAGGATCGATGTTGCCAGCCGCAATCGTGGCCAGGATGAGCATCGCGGTGATGTTCATGTCCCTCTTTGCGTCGGGCTTGAAACCTTCCGTTGACACTGAATGTCGGCGGCGCAACCTGGAACCTGCGTTTGCGGCCTGCATTCGGGCTCATGACTGGCGTGGTGTCGACGTGCGGCTGGATATCCTGAAGAGAGCCCCGAGAGCCTTCCCAAGACGGCCCAGAGAGGCCAAAGACAGGGATATCCCATGGGGTTTTAAATGATTTGCGGGCCCTCGACTTTTCACCCACGGCGCTCGAAGACGGCCCAAAAGGCCCCCAGGACCGCCCCAAGACGGCCCAAGACCCAAAAGGCCCGCCGAAGGGCCCCAACACGGCCCAATAAGGCTCCAAGATGGCCCCAGAGGCGCCCAAGACGGCCCAAGACGGCCAAAAGACAGCCCCAAGAAGGGCCCAAGGAGGGGAACACGAACCGCCAATCCGAACCTTCCGCCCCAAGAGGCGCCTACTCCCAATCCCCCCTTGTTATTTCTCCCGGCTAACGGATCGCGACGCTACGCGCGCTTTCCGTCATTTGGTTGCTGGACGTCGCGCTGCTCTTGCCTCAATCTAGACGCCTGTGCCAATCTGGCCGCCCTGTTGCTGGCGGTCGTCGCTCTCGTCTTCGTGAAGCGGGTCGGGGCTGCAGCGTTGGCGGGGGAGGTCTGCGCGCTGTGATATTTAATATGTGCGTCGAGCAGCGCCCTCGGTCGTCTGAGTGCGTGCGCTGCCTCAGGCGCCTTTGCAAAAAGAAGCTGCCTGGCCAGTTGCCTTGGAATATATTTTACTTGAAACAAAATGTCGATGGATCCTCCTCCTCCTCCTCCTCCTCCTCCTCCCCTCCTCCTCCTCCTCCTCCTCCTCTCCTCCTCCTCCTCCTCTCCTCCTCCTCCTCCTCCTCCTCCTCCTCCTCCCTCCTCCCCCCCATAATCCACGACAGCACCCTCCACTTCCTGCTGCTCCTTGTTGTTCTCATGTGTCATAGTTATCGTATCCTCCTCCTCCTCCTCCGCCTCCTTCCTCCTCCTCCTCCTCCTCCTCCTCCTGCTACTCGGCCTCATCCGCCCACCCCTACCATTCTCATCCCCCATCACCATAATCTGCCTCATCCCTCCTCCTCCCTATCCTCCAACTCATCGCCACGCAACATGATTACGCGAACGTGATGTGCGGCGGGTCGAGCCGAGATCAGTGCGGTCCTGCCTCGCAGTCCCGACCCCCAACCACAAACCCACACACCCCACCGACACGAATCACATAATCAAACGGGCTCGGCAATACCCGGTCACGACATCCACCGAGATCCAACCACAACGTAAGTGGCATGGTCACTGCTACCCCGTAGCGCACCTCAGAGTGCCACACGTCTCTTCTTTTAAGAGGATGTGGGGTGCCAAGCAATATTCGGCATGTGGGGAGCCGTAAGTGCACGATTCCATTCACCATTCCCAGAGCTGTCGCTGGCTCAAGAACAACAACTATCTGGACACAAAAAGGTTGTGCACACACACACACACGTGACATGGGGAAATGGTGTACGCGTGATTATGGAAACACGCACGCGCCAATCTTTTTTTACAAGCAAAGACCCACCACACTCCAGTCCGATTGCCAGTCAGCCTCACACAGCCTGCCAGGCCCGATACAAAAACCCTGGACTCGCACAGTGAGGAAAATGCATGTGTCACCGAATCGGTGCATCGGTGCAGGACCATCTGCACGAGGAGGAAAATAGACACGTCTCATTCGAACAAGACGAAAGGATAAAGGCACTGTGTGTGTGCATAAATCTCCATATGGCCCCAGCGACCACTAATATGATGAGGCCTCACACAACGGCACTATAAAGGAAAGCACAGTGCACACCAAATTAAAACGCATGCGGCGGCGAGGCTGATAGAACACATCCCCGGAATCCTATCAACTCAAAGGCGGAAGCGGGAAGGGGGAATGAGGAGGCGGAAACACACACACACACACACACACACACGCCAATACGGAGGCACTTACAATGCGCAAGATGCTTGCATGTCTCAGTGGTTGGGAGTCGTTTTGCTTGGGGTCATACGTTTTTGCGTATGAGTGCACACGAGAAGCTGAATGCCCAGCGTAAGCCACTGGGCCCTGTGATCATGCGCAGTTTTGGTGCCACGATGCTGGCGGCGGACGACTGCGGCAGAACGAGTCACGAGGTGTCGGGGCCCAAGTCGCCAGCAGCTGCACATGATACACAGACCAGCCTGAGGCCGCAGGATCACTGCAATCTGAGGGCCCCCTTGTGGAGCCCCCAGGCTGCGAGGACCCCGCTTCGGCAGCGTAGGTGCCGGTCCTGAACTCTTCGTGTAATCTACAACTTCCAAACTCCAATGTTGCAAGTCTACCTTCTGCTGCCTACTGTTTGTGACTGATCCGCGCGAGGGGGCGGGCCGAAACGGAGACATCTACACTCCCCCCAGGGGATCTTAGCATCCCCCATGGCCCTAGAACACTAACAAATATTTGATATTCGCGTCCCCGGTGTCGGATTCCTCACAAATTAAAGCGGGTTCGCGATCCCGACGCCAGCATCCTTTATACATTACCTCAGATTCACGCCCCCGCGGCCAGCTTCCCTCGTACACTGCGCTTGGCTCGCGCTCCCGAAATCAGAATCTTATAGAAATTGCACCAACATCGCGTTCCCGAGGCCGGAACCCATTATAAAGTACGCCAGGCTCGCGCCCACGAGGCCAGAATCCATTTGCCTACGTTACACCAGATTCGCCCTCACGAATCCACAACCCTTTGCACATTGCATCAGGTTCGCGCTCCCGAGGCCCGAATCTGCTGCATATTATACCAGACTCGCGCCCCCGATGCCAGAACCATTTGCAAATTACGCCACGCTCGCGCTCCCGAGGGCACGATCCCCCGTAAAGTATGCCACACTCGCGCTCTCGAGGTCACGACCCCTTGCGCATTAAACCAGATTCGCGCCATGAGAAGAAAACAAAGAGTTTGACAACAATCCCAACATCTCGAAGTAACTGCTGAATGCCAATCATCATCGCCCGGTGTTGTCGAGAGTTTGCAAACAACGCCAACACGTTCCAGCACAGTTCTGACATCTCCCATTCTGATAGAGAGGGGGCCGGCGGCAGAGGGCAAAACCCTTACGGATAATAAAGCGCGCACGGCGGGTTGGGCCGTGCGAGACCTCTCTGACACAGTGTCTGGCACAGTCTTTGGCCCCCTTTTCCAGTGCCTGGTCAAAAACCTCCTGAAAGTTCTTTCGAGGGGGCCCCACTCTGCCGCCGGCCCCACTCTGCCGCCAGCCCCCTTGAAGGTCTCAAACGGCCCGGGGACGACCCAAGGGCGCCCCAAGCCGGTCCAAGAGAGTCCCTAGCAGTCCAAGAGAGCCTCCAGACGGTTCCAGATCGCTCCAAGACGCCTAAGATGGCCTCCAGACGGCCCAAGACGCCTCCAAGACGGCCCACGAGGGCTCCAAGAGCACCCCCAAGACAGCCCCGAGAAGCAAAAATCATTGATTTTTCGATGGTTTTTCAAGGATTTTCACGTTCACGCCATTTCGGCTTACCCACGCTCCACGACGGCCCAAGAGGCCCCCAAGATCGCCCCAGGACGGCCCAACAGGCCCCCAAGACGGCCCCAAGACGGCCCAAGAGGGCCCCAAGACGGCCCAAGAGGCCCCCGGGACGGCCCAAGAGGGGCCCCAGGATGGCCCCAAGAGGAGGCCCAGAAGGGGTACCCAAATGAACATGTCGAGCTTTCGGCTTAAGAGGCCCCCAGGAGGCCCTCAGCGGCCCCCTGGAGGCCCCCAACAAACACCAAAAGAGCCCCAGGAGGCCCCAAGAGGGCCCCCAGAGGTCTCCAAGAAGCCCCTGGGACGCCCACGAGAGGCCCCTAAACTGCCCCGCAGAAGCCCCCGAGAGCTGTCCGAAGAGACTCCTGCAAGCGTCCATGAGGACTCTGAGCCACAACCCAGGCAAGGTGGCGGGATCACTCCCAGACGCCGAAGATGGCCTCTAGAGGCCCTCACGCGCCTTCAAGGCGCCCCAACAAAAACTCAAAGGCCCCCAAGAGAGAGGGCCCGAAACAGTTCCCAAGGAGCTTCCAGGAGGCTCCCCAGAGGCTCCTACAATGCCCCGCAGAGGCTCCCGAGAGCTTTCCGAAGAGACTCCTACAAGCGTCTATGAGGACTCTGACCCACAACCCAGGCAAGGTGGCGGGATCACTCCAAGACGCCGACAAACTCCCAGGGAGCGGCCGGTGATGCGCCGCCGGCGTCCTCGATAAAGCGAGTGTCGTTACCTGCGTCCCCAGCCTGGAGGCACCATGGGACCTTCACAGCCAAACTGCGCAAGTGTTACAAGCTATATGCAAGGCAAACGCTTGAACAAGGGTGATCGAATCAATACGAACACACACATGCACACAAACGAGTGTGAACATAATAGGGTGGAAGAGGAGCATGGGAATGTTGCAATGAACCCTGATGTCAGCCGTCAGCCTTGTTTTCTGCTCCTTGTAGGCAGTGCGAAGCTTGGCAGCGTCAGCGACCACCTTGTCGCATGAAGCTACCTGGAAGGCGGGGGGATGACGGGGCACAACCCATGAAACGAATATCCGCCGATCCGGTGTGTGAGTTTCTGACAGCGTGGACTTGAGCTCGCTCAAGCTTCGCTCTGAAGGGGGGGGGACGCCATTCCCGCCGCATTTAGTGCTCGAGGGCGGGGGGCCCACAGGCCCCCAAGAAGCTCCCAGGAGGCTCTCGAAGGGGGGGGGACGCCATTCCCGACGCATGTAATGCTCGGGTGCGGGGGGGCCCACAGGCCCCCAAAAAGCACCTAGGAGGCCCCAGAAGGCTCCCAAGAGGCCCGAAAAGGGCACCAAAACTATCACTAAGAGGCTTCCCCAGGTCCCTTGCTCAATCTCCTGGGCCTCAGTCCTCAAGCCTACGGATTCGTAATGGGCCCGTACCCCAAGCTCTCAAATCTCTTGAGGCTCCCCGCGCGGCCTGTGGGGTCAGCAGAATGTTCCCGCATGACTGTTTCGAGCCAAAAAGAAGCCCAACACGGGCCAACAGGCCCCAAGAGGCCCTCAAGACGGCCCAAGACAGCCCCGAATCACCGAACGATCGGTCAAAGACGCCCAAGATGGCCCCATGGCCAGCATCATGATGAACATCATCATAATGACCATTAGCAGCAAAATCATTATAATTTTCATCACCATCATCATCAACATCATCATCACCATCATCATGACCATGATCATCGTCATTATCAGGAGCGCCCCAGATCGGCGGCACTGGCGAGAGGCCACCACAATACATATCCCATGTGCGAACCTCTTCTCATTGTCCCCAACCGCGTCCAGCACCCCTTCTCCATCACGCCCCCTTATCCTCCAACTCGCGCGTGCGTGGCCAGGCCCAATATCTGCATGGCGAAAGACGTGGGCGAATCGGCACGCGCGTGCGCCAGCGACAACAACGCAATAGTGGCGTCGCCGACTGACAAAGGACCTCATACGTCAAAGGCAACGACGCGTCTTCTGAGTCAAAGCGCGCATCGTAGCCCGATAATAGCACCGCCACCCTTCGGAGCGTGGATTGTGCAACGAGGTCGTTCTTTCGACCCCCTTCTTCCGTTTCAGCGAGGGGCTTACCCCAGATCCCCCCCCCACCCCTGGGCTAAGACGGAAAGCTCCGTGAACGGTCAAATGGTTCAATACTGGTGGCCCAAAATGACTCCCGCATGGCCCCACATAACCCAAGATGGACTCCGATCTTGCACACTATACCCACCGGTCGGAAGAAGTAGGTAGAAACATGAAGTAGGAAGGCGGAAGAAGTAGATTGCATTCGGGGCCGCCCAAAAAAACAACAGCAACAGCAATTACAAGAAGTAGATTGCGAATTTCCGGGCCCTGTCTCAGCGGCGCGCAGTAGCGCTAGGTCGCTTGGCTCCTCGGATGGCCCCATTCCTTGGCTGGTTTCGGTTGTTCTGGCTTGTTTTCGTTTGTCCGTCGATCGCAGTGGCAGCCTTTCGGTCGCTCGGCCCTTCGGCTGGCCAAATGCGTTGGTTTTGTTTGTTTCTGTTTGTTTTCGCTTGTCCGTCGGCTGCACTGGTCGCCCCAGGCCCGCCCGCGGCCTTTCGGTCGCTCGGCCCCTCGGCTGGCCAAATGCATTGGTTTTGTTTGTTTTTGTTTGTTTTCGCTTGTCCGTCGGCTGCACTGGCCGCCCCAGGCCCGCCCGCAGCCGTTCGGTCGCTCGGCCCCTCGGCTGGCCGAATTCACTGGTTTTGTTTGATTCTGTTTGTTTTCGCTTGTCCGTCGGCTGCACTGGTCGCCCTGCGCACGCCCGCCGCCCCGCGGTCGCTCGGCCCCTCGGCTGGCCCCATTCCTTGGTTTTGTTTGTTTTTGTTTGTGTTCGCTTGTCCGTCGGCTGCACTGGTCGCCCCAGGCCCGCCCGCCGCCCCGCGGTCGCTCGGCCCCTCGGCTGGCCCCATTCCTTGGCGTTCTTTGTTCCTGTTTGTTTTCGCTTGTCCGTCGGCTGCACTGGTCGTCTCAGGCCCGCCCGCCGCCGTTCGGTCGCTCGGCCCCTCAGCTGGCCCAATTCCCTGATGTTGTTTGTTTTTGTTTGTTTTCGCTTGTCCGTCGGCTGCACTGGACGCCCCAGGCTCGCCCGCCGCCTTTCGGTCACTCGGCCCCTCGGCTGGCCCCACTCCCTGGCTTTCTTTGTTTCTGTTTGTTTTCGCTTGTCCGTCGGCTGCACCGGTCGCCTCAGGCTCGCCCGCCGCTCCGCGGTCGCTCGGCCCCTCGGCTGGCCAAATGCATTGGTTTTGCTTGTTTTTGTTTGTTTTCGCTTGTCCGTCGGCTGCACTGGTCGCCCCAGGCTCGCCCGCCGCTGTTCTCTCGCTCGGCCCCTCGGCTGGCCCAATTCCCTGATGTTGTTTGTTGTTGTTCGTGTTCGCTTGTCCGTCAGCTGCGTTGGTCGCCCCAGCCTCGCCCGCCACCCCGCGGTCGCTCGGCCCCTCGGCTGGCCCCTTTCCACTGTTTCGTTTGTTTTTGTTTGTTTTCGCTTGTCCGTCGGCTGCGCTGGTCGCCCCAGGCTCGCCCGCCGCCCCGCGGGCGCTCGGCCCCTCGGCTGGCCAAATTCACTGGTTTTGTTTGTTTCTGCTTGTTTTCGCTTGTCCGTCGGCTGCACTGGTCGCCCCAGGTTCGTCCGCCGCCCCGCGGGCGCTCGGCCCATCGGCTGGCCCAATTCATTGGTTTTGTTTGTTTTTTGTTTGTTTTCGCTTGTCCGTCGGCTGCACTGGTCGCCCCAGGCCCGCCCGCCGCCCCGCGGTCGCTCGGCCCCTCGGCTGGCCCCATTCATTGGTCTTGTTTGTTTCGGCTTGTTTTCGCTTGTCCGTCGGCTGCGCTGGTCGCCCCAGGCCCGCCCGCCGCCGTTCGGTCGCTCGGCCCCTCGGCTGGCCCAATTCACTGGTTTTGCTTGTTTTTGTTTGATTTCGCTCGTCCGTCGGCTGCACTGGTCGACCTGCGCACGCCCGCCGCCTTTCGGTCGCTCGGCCCCTCGGCTGGCCCCATTCCCTGGCTTTCTTTGTTTCTATTTGTTTTCGCTTGTCCGTCGGCTGCAGTGGTCGCCTCAAACTCGCCCGCCGCCCCGCGGTCGCTCGGCCCCTCGGCCGGCCAAATGCATTGGTTGCGTTTGCTGTTGTTTGTTTTCGCTTGTCCGTCGGCTGCGCTGGTCGCCCCAGGCCCGACCGCCGCCGTTCGGTCGCTCGGCCCCTCGGCTGGCCCAATTCACTGGTTTTGTTTGTTTTTGTTTGATTTCGCTTGTCCGTCGGCTGCACTGGTCGCCCTGCGCACACCCGCCGCCTTTCGGGCGCTCGGCCCCCCGGCTGGCCCCATTCCCTGGCTTTCTTTGTTTCTGTTTGTTTTCGCTTGTCCGTCGGCTGCACTGGTCGCCTCAAGCTCGCCCGCCGCCCCGCGGTCGCTCGCCCCCTCGGCTGGCCAAATGCATTGGTTTTGTTTGTTTTTGTTTGTTTTCGCTTGTCCATCGGCTGCACTGGTCGCCCCAGGCTCGCCCGCCGCCCCGCGGTCGCTCGGCCCCTCGGCTGGCCAAATGCATTGGTTTTGTTTGTTGTTGCTTGTTTTCGCTTGTCCGTCGGCTGCGCTGGTCGCCCCAGGCCCGCCCGCCGCCGTTCGGTCGCTCGGCCCCTCGGCTGGCCCAATTCACTGGTTTTGTTTGTATTTTGTTTGTTTTCGCTTGTCTGTCGGCTGCACTGGTCGACCTGCGCACGCCCGCCGCCTTTCGGTCGCTCGGCCCCTCGGCTGGCCCCATTCCTTGGCTTTCTTTGTTTCTGTTTGTTTTTCGCTTGTCCGTCGGCTGCACTGGTCGCCTCGGGCCCGCCCGCCGCCCCGCGGTCGCTCGGCCCCTCGGCTGGCCAAATGCATTGGTTTTGTTTGTTTTTGTTTGTTTTCGCTTGTCCGTCGGCTGCCCTGGTCGCCCCGGGCCCGCCCGCCGCCGTTCGGTCGCTCGGCCCCTCGGCTGGCCCAATTCATTGGTTTCGTTTGTTTTTGTTTGATTCCGCCTGTCCGTCGGCTGCACTGGTCGCCCTGCGCGCGCCCGCTGCCTTTCGGTCGCTCGGCCCCTCGGCTGGCCCCACTCCCTGGCTTTCTTTGTTTCTGTTCGTTTTCGCTTATCCGTCGGCTGCACTGGTCGCCCCAGGCTCGCCCGCCGCCCCGCGGCAGCTCGGCCCTTCGGCGGGCCCCATCCATGGTTTTGTTTATTTTTGTTTGTTTTTGCTTGTCCGTCGGCTGCGCTGGTCGCCCCAGGCTCGCCCGCCGCCCCGCGGTCGCTCGGCCCCTCGGCTGGCCCAATTCACTGGTTTTGCTTGTTTTTGTTTGATTTCGCTTGTCCGTCGGCTGCACTGGTCGCCCTGCGCACGCCCGCCGCCTTTCGGTCGCTCGGCCCCTCGGCTGGCCCCATTCCCTGGCTTTCTTTGTTTCTGTTTGTTTGCGCTTGTCCGTCGGCTGCAGCGGTCGCCTCAAGCTCGCCCGCCGCCCCGCGGTCGCTCGACCCCTCGGCCGGCCAAATGCATTGGTTTTGTTGGTTGTTGCTTGTTTTCGCTTGTCCGTCGGCTGCACTGGTCGCCCCAGGCCCAACCGCCGCCGTTCGGTCGCTCGGCCCCTCGGCTGGCCCAATTCACTGGCTTTGTTTGTTTTTGTTTGTGTTCGCTTGTCTGTCGGCTGCGCTGGTCGCCCTGCGCGCGCCCGCCGCCGTTCGGTCGCTCGGCCCCTCGGCTGGCCCAATTCACTGGCTTTGTTTGTTTTTGTTTGTGTTCGCTTGTCCGTCGGCTGCACTGGTCGCCTCAAGCTCGCCCGCCGCCCCGCGGTCGCTCGCCCCCTCGGCTGGCCAAATGCATGGGTTTTGTTTGTTTTTTTGTTTGTTTTCGCTTGTCCGTCGGCTGCACTGGTCGCCCCAGACCCGCCCGCCGCCGCTCGGTCGCTCGGCCCCTCGGCTGGCCCAATTCACTGGTTTTGTTTGTTGTTGTTTGTTTGTTTTCGCTTGT